TTTCAAATTTTCTGCAGGATAGTGGTCAATTAGTATTTAACCTTTTGGTGAACTGGGAATTGAAATCTTTCCCTTGGGAGTTTAGAAGTGACATAAATATGATAGTTATTCTTAAATATTTGTAGCCCCACACAGATGATCGAGGCCCCTAAAACACAGCTTCTGTGGAAATCTTTCTACAACAGATATATCTGGTTTTAAATCCCAAGCTAAAACATTTCCTAGGGAAAAACAAGGGCACTGAAAAATAAGAACTGAATAGGAAATTAAAATGCATGCTGAAATCTGGACACAAACGACCACTTGGCTTTCCTTGGGTGGCTCATCGCCAAGCCTTGCTGGGTTGGTTCCTCAAACACCTGAGGATTAACTGATCAGGAACCAAAGCTATTTCTTTCTGTATCCTACTGTCGCATCAGTGATATTCAGCTTTCTTTCTGTGACTCCCCGAGGTATCAATAATGATATCTAGGGTTCTTGAGACAATGTCAAGCCAAATTTCAAGTCACTTTAACTTATATATACATATAACACATATGGTACATTTTAAAGAGGAAAGAACCACTGTCAAAAAATCTAACAAAGGAGAGCATAAAATCTAAAAAATCTCAAGGAAGTTTGGGAATCACTGCTCTATAAGATGGATTAACATTCAGAAAAAGGAAGCCCTAGGAATCGTGTGTTTTGTGTGGGTACCCACATGTTGTCTACAGAAACGGCCTTTCTATATATGTATGTATTTCGAGATTGGGCAAAGGATATAAATCCTCCTGTTTCCTTGAACCGTTGGGCTATGGAGAAGGCTGCTGTGCATTAGTCCCCTTTTGGATCATGTATCTTCCTCAGGTTCTTTCACTCCTCATAAGATATTTATTCTGTCTCATGCAAATTTCATCACTTTTGTCCTTCCTAAACTCAAGAGCATTCCTAACTGGGTCATGACAGAATGCTTCTAGAACTAATAACAATCACTCAGACACAAAAAGAGATTCTATTTAAAAATTCAACACCCCAACATACCTTGCTTTTAAATAAACTAGCAAAATAGGTCCCTTCCATTGACATATTGATAAAAACAAAGTATCCCAAATTCTTGGCCCTCAGGTAAGGGGTGGGTAAGGCAACTATTTACTGTTGAAGCGAGCAGGAGACTTCACTATCAGACTTGAAAAAGGCAAGGGGAATGGAGAAGAAAGCCCTTTTGGTTTTCCATAATCTGTAGAAGGTGACCCCCCCAAAGGTGAAAACACAGGGAAGGTATGGTGTGGGCTCCAGAGCTGCTGAGTCAGGCCCAGTGACAAGCCTAGTCTGGTGTCAACTCTAGTCAGGGTCACATGGGCCTTAGGTAAATCCCAAGGAGGGTTCCTTCCCCAAGTTCAGTCCTACAACCAGCCTTCTCAGAAACTCCAAACTGGACGTAACTGGAACTAAACCTAGATGGAAGGCAGAACAAATTGTAATCAAACTCACTTGATGGCAACTGTCTTGCTGTGGGGCTTCCAAAAAGGAACTGCTCTCAACCCAGTGTGCCTCTGAGGACAGAGTGAGAAACGAGGGTCGCTAGAGCTACAGATCCATAAATAGACTAAGATCTAAAAAGCTTTACTTTTAAAGTCAAGTTAATTCTCAAGGGCATACAGCAGTCGTAGACAGGAAATCCTACTTTGTCTTTCACTGTGCAACACCATTACAGGGAAAGGGAAAGGTACAAGCAGACAAGAGAAAGCTAATTCTGACCAACTCAATGCCAAGTGAAAGGGCAAAGTTACAGCAGCATGATGACCTCATTTTACCACATTTCCCTTACAACAGACTGCCCTGGACCCCAGCAGTATCTTGGTGATAGTGCCTGGATCATAGTAAGTGCTCAAGTGTTTGTCATTGTTACCTAGTTATAATCTCCCCTCCTTCATGGCTTGTATTGCAGAGACTCAGGTAATGTGATGACTTGAAGGAAATGTTACTCCTTTTCGCTGCTTCGGCTCAGAAAGCTTATTGCTCCAGTGAAAATAAAAGGGAAATATAAAGCTCTTTTCCTAAATCGTACCAACATTGTCCTTGTTAATGGCCAAATCTGGTTGTCATCTGGACAAGCATTTTGCAAGCACTTCACCGGAATTCCAAATTCCATTCAGCCTTGGTCTATGCTGCATCCCACCATGTGGTGACGTGTTGGGTGTTAGAAGGAGTGCAAGACATGCTATCATAATCCACCCACTTCTCTTCAACCATACACCTCCTCCCAGCAAGAGAGGTATGCACTTATCTGGGCTGAAGAAAAGCCAATTAAGCAATACCTCCATAAGAATTATCAGCTGTTGTTGACTTTTTCCATACTTTAAAAAAAAAATCTTTCAGAATAAGTTCTATAGACTGCAGCATTCTCTAAAGAAATACTCAGAAAAATATTCGGACAGGAATAGGTTCCAAGGATAATCTAAAATTTAACATCTGGCAACTATACTGAACTCCTAGCTTACCTCTAATTTTATTATTTGTTTACTCTTTTCCCTTCATTCAAGATAACCTGATAATAGAGGGCTGCATAATCTATCCAAACATTTTGGGCATCTAATCTTCCAAAGTAGGCAGCCCTCTAAGAAGCTCCCATAATGCTGACAAGATGTACTGCATCCATCAAAAACATATTTGATTTTGTGTCCTCCAACCCTCCAATATAGTTTATCAGTCCTCTGTCATCCGTAACCACCACCCGAGAGCTTCCAAACCTCAATGTAAGACATCACCCATGTTACATACTTAAGGCCACTGAAACTGACCGTTCTTTTACCAGGTTTTCTGAAGACTTTTATAAAGAATGGCTAGAGCTGAAGATAGCCACAAACAAGAATGGACCTATGTTTACATACCCTCTCCCCAAACACTAAGCACTACTTCAGAATTGGTGGTTTCTTTCCTATTAAAGTAAGTCATTTGGCCACGGTGTGCCCTGAGCTTGGAGGGAAGAGAGAAGAATCTGTAAAGTAATGATCACGGGTCAAGAAAATACACAAGTGCCAATACATGAGGGCATGAAGTCTGCAGATCAGATAAACACACTGGGCAGCTCTTGATTTAGATCTCTGACTGGCAGAAACAGGAGTGTTATGAAGGGGAAATGTTTTAAAAGGTTGTGGGCTGGGGACCGTGGTGAGGTTGCTGAGATGCGAGGCCCAACACAAAGACCCACCTGAGGGCAGTGCTTAAGAGGTCAGAATGCAAGCCTGGGGATGCAGTGGAAATGGAGGCTTGGTGTCTCTGTCGGGGCTTCACCCAAAAGGGGACACAATAAATGTTCTCTCGTCTCCTTATAAGTATTCTGTTATGTGGAAACACTCACTCCAGGTCTATGGCTTCATCAGGTGTTTTTTTTTCCCCCTCCTTTCTCCTTTTCCTTCTTAAAAAAAAAAAATCCTTAAAGTTTATAATTTCAAATAAACATCATTAACTTACTTGAGAAATGTTGTTGCTTTCTCAATATAAACAATTGCTTAGATCTTGCTTAAAGAGATTCTAACCCCTTTAAACATTATATCCAACAGCATAGAAGGCAGGAACTTTTCCTATCTGTGCAGTTATATGTACATATGTGTGAGTATATGTGTATATATACTTGTAAATATAATGTCTGTTTAACTTGTAACATTCCATACTTCTGATAATCAAGGTTGCAGTCAAGATGACATTTCACACCTCTGGAAAAAAGGAAGTAACTTAGCTTCCATGACTGTTTCTGTCCTACAATAAATCTGTCCTACAATAAAGCCAACGATGACAGCTAGTGAAACTGGGTTATTATTGCCAAATCTACAAAGAGCATGGGAATAACAGCTGGAATGTGCTGTCCTCCCACTTTTAGTATTTTATTTTTCATTAAGAGTAAAATCATGACTTTTAAGAGAGCAGTGCTTCAGATTCGGACTTCTTTTCCAAATTTTACTGAGGGGATTAGAGGAAGAAGCAATTTAAAAGTTAAAGACTGAGATAAAATTACCCTGCCCAGAGATCTGCTAGTACACTGGGTAAAATCTTTATCCCAAACCAAAATTATAACTTACAAATAGAAAAAAATTTTTGACAGGAAATATTCAGAGATTCCTGCCATGGTATGGTATGGTTAGCCCTTTTCTGTATGGAAGAAAGGGTGTTTATTTCGGATGGCTTATGGACAGCATATTTGAATAACCTCTCCAGGGGAGAGTAAACCCTGTTGGTGATGACTGCTCCCACCATGGGGGAGGAAAGGGCAAGTGGGTGTGAAGATGCAGATGGTTTATAGAGACACAAATATTTATAGTTTTGTAAACTCTAAAGAGGAAGAAGAACACCCTTTATTACAACTGGGGTAAAAAAAAAGCCCCCTATCTAAAATGGAAAATTCCTGTCTGCTACAGACAGAAGGAAATAAACAGCAACAGGAGTTCAACAGAAATCACTCCTAAAGTCCAGTTTTGATACAACAGCTCTTATCTGTGTCCTCTGGAACAGTGTATCCCCAAATCAGATAGCTGTCCATCCAGAACCAGTCTTGGTTGATCAATGGGATAAACTATTTTGTTTGGATCTCGGTATTTGCATGTTTTCCTAAAGGACAAGGGAACCGGAGTGGGGTTTTTAAACTGGCAGAGGAATCCCTGAAAAACTCATTCTGACAATGTCCTACTGCGGTCTGTGTGCTCTATCAGACAGACACGTGGTCTCTACCAGCTGAGCCGCCAGGCTCATCTCTCATTCGCATGTACCTCCTACTTTGCCTCCTCTAACAACTGCAGTGCTTTCAACAAGAGGACAACAATAATAAAAATAGCAATAATTAAAAAGGTAATCTACATTATTAACTTCCTTTGGGTATATTACAGTGGTATTTTCTGTACATGGCCCAGAACTAAGTTCCCTATGTACACAGAGCCGGGGTC